CCCGACAGCCCCGCCGGGCCGCGGCCGCCCTCCTGCCCGCCGGGGACGGCAGCTCCGCCCCGGGCCTCGCCACGGGGCTGCGGAGCCCGGAGGGCGGAGAAAGGGACTCCCCACCCAGCCGCACAGACACCACACCCCGCCTTTCCGGAAAGTCCATATCGGGCTCCCTGCTTCCCGTGGGGCGAAGGACTGACGGAGCAGCCAGCCCTCTGGGTGTCTCCTTGGACCTCAACCAAAGTGGCAGCCCCAGACTCTGTACTACGAAATAGGGACCAGCCCAGATTGTGTGGGGCAGAAACCAGAAGGCCGCTGGATAGACAGCGCTGCCCTGGCCCTTCTGGAGCCATCTGCGCCTCCCTGCTCTCAGAACTCAGTACCGAATGGAGGCTGCCTGTCCATGCCCGTCTTCCCAGCTCCCCCTCAGGGACACTTAGAAGCACTTAAAGCTCATTTGAATAAATGAGTGAGAGAATGAGTACTTGAAAATCAGGAGCAGAGTCCATCGGCCAGGAGAGGATTGTCCCATCCCCTACTAGTGCTCAAATCCCAGGGCTTAATCCTAGGCTCCACCCGTCCATGGGGTGGAGGGCCTTGCTCTGTGAAGATCGGTGGTCCTCACACCTCACCCAAAGTCACCCCATTTCTCCCCTCTAGACCTCATCTGTTGTTCACATCTTGAAAATCTTTTCTTTGTACCAAATCCACACCCTTCCAGACTTGATCTGCTCTGTCCACTTTTCTACCTGGAGTCCTTCCCTTGGGAGCCACAGCCACACCAATGCTCAGTTTAAGTTGTGGTCCAGGTCCAGGAACAAGTTGCCTGGCTCTGTGTGGGCTGAGAGGGAAGACATGATGTGTAGGCTAGAAGGCCAAGGTAGACAGCTGGGCTGCAGAAGTCCCTTAGAGAGGGCTGGGAGGTGAACAGACATGGATAAGAGAGAGCTGGAAGCTGTGAGTGGCACTTACCATGGCACAGGTGCCCTGAAGGGTGCCCCTAGGTCTGGATCTGCTTGTTTGAGGCCTTGAGAGCACTTAGATCCGTAAGAATTCTAGCTTGTGGAGCAGAAGATCCGTTCCTTTGCCCAGCACTTAATTTTGCTCCAAGTTAGAGTTCTCTATATTTTATATCTGAGTCTTAATGTGCCTTGAATCCCCTATAAAACATTTGCATATGAAGGGAGGTCAAATATACTCCTTTTCTTAATTCAGTATTCTAATCTATATCAGGGGATTAGATGATGAAATTTATCACATGTTGATGAGTCAGCATATCACACACACACACACACACACACACACACACACACACTCACGGTCAGAACTCAGTCATCTACAAGTGAGAACTATGCACTGATGGCTGAGTGCTTTCTAAAAAACACGAGGCTATCTGCAGGAAATTCATTATTTCAGAAGCCGTTGGTTCATTGCTTTCAGCTGTGTGATTTCCAGTTTTTTCTGTGTTAGTGTCCTCTGCACTTGTTATGGGTGGACTTGGGTTCTGAGGTTGCATTTTGTTCCTTCTCGTCATTTTGTGTAGCACTGTCTTCTGCCCTTTGTTGTAGATCTTTGCTGTAGTTATAACCTTCGCACGTACTGAAGTTCAGGTGGAGCTCTACAGAGTTTGGACTTATCTAGCTGCGTCTGGCTTGGGTCTGGCTGCTGTGCTCAGCTCCTTCCCGCTGCTGCCCTTGAGGGTGAACCTGTTGTGTCCCTGTGGTGAGATGTTTTGCTCCTGGACTAGCTGGTTGGATCTATCCTTTACACTCTCTGCAGGGATTGCAGCTGCAGGATTACACCCCAGGCATGTATGCCAGGCCTGAGCTGTGCCTGGAGGGGGCAAGGTGAAGTAGGGAGAAGAGGAAGCTCTCCCACACACTCACTGGACCTGGGCTAGGACTGGGTCTGGGGGTTCCCGGATGCAGCAAAAGTTCCTACTCGGCAAGTGGGGCGTGGCAGGTACTGCGGAGTGGTAGGGGGTGGCCCAAGGGGGTGGGAGAGGGTCCGGCCTCCGTTGTGCCTGGGCTGGGACAGGTCCCGCCAGCGCAGGGTAGCAGGAAGCTCTCCGCACACTCACCGGACCTGGGCTAGGACTGCGTCTGGGGTCTCCCGGAACTCGGCAGGTACTTGCAGGAAATTCATGAAACAAAGTATAGGGAAACCATGAGGATAGTGTGTCATGAAAAGGCTAGTAAGGCCAGTGGGTAGCTTTCAGTCTAGGCTGAAGATGCACAGTGAAGGTGGCACGGGAGCTGCAGGAGGAACAGGTGCTTTGGACTAAGGTAGAGGGGTTGTACCTTAGCCTGAAGCAGTCGCACGGAGGACTACTTTCTCCTCCCTTCCTCCCATCTCTGACTAAGGGTCCTGTTAGCAGAATCCAACCAGTAGCCATGGACAAGGGGACCTGTTGCCGTAAACAGGACAGATCTGGAGAATCAATATGAGGTCAGGGCTGACTTCAAGGGGAAATGACTTAGAAACTGTATGTGCTTTCCTTATCATTCACTTCTAAATATTTCACAAATTTTATTGTAATGTCCTCTCTGACTCTGGGATGATTTAGAAGTGTGTTTTCAGTTTCTCAGCCTATGAGAGGTTTATGTTTTTCTTGTTGGCTTTTTCTTCTGTTGCATTGTGGTTAGAGTTCTTGGTCTGGGAGAACCTTTGGAATTTAACTTGGCTTCCTCTGTGGGTTTGTACATGGTCATTTTCTGTGCCTCTGAGCTGGATTTTATAGGATGGGTAGGAATTTGTATGGTGGAGTGAAAAGTACAGAACAGTACTGTGGGAAATATGGGCGATCCATTTTGAAGGAATTTCAGAAGTTCCCAGCTCATCTGCATATCCCTAGGGTCTATGGGACAGGAGGCAGGCAGAAGGGTAGGGGGATCCAGAGAATGGCCAGATTCCTCAAACACCTTCCTGCTGCTCTCAGTCTGGGAGAGAGTTTGCTTTCTTAGAGACCCTGCTGAGGCTGAGAAGACCCAGATGTTGGAGCAAATACTTTACTATGTATTTACTGCGCGATCTTGGGTTAGTCCTGCCTCTCTGATGGCCCACTATAACCCTACAGCACTACATGGGACAGACTGTTCTTGGGTGTGCTACAAAACTCAGAGGACTCAAATGAGGCTTATCTCTGTGGCTGGGTGAGAGTCAGTGGGGACCTAGGAGGTAAGTACCCCACTTCACTGTATAGCCCAGGCACTTGCCTTCCTCTTGGGAGTTTCAAGTAACAGCACTGTGGTATTCAAGGTCAGGAAATCCAAACTCCTTCCCTGGCTCTGCCACTCCTCTGTAGCCTTCATCTCTACAAGTATGTGTTTCTGGGAAAGTCTCTGCCCCTTTCTGTACCTCAGTTTCTGTACTGTACCACACAAGCATCTTCTAGCCACACCAAGTACCTTATCAGAACCAGCTTCCAACTCTTCTTCTTGGGCCTATACCAAGTGACTCTATGTATACAGAGTGGCTTCTCAATGGGAACTCCTCAGCCCCTCCTATGCCAGGAAAAGTCCCCTATACTTTTACTCCTTTCAGAATGAGATACTGAATTCCCAGTTCACCTCATCAAACCCCTACTATAGCTAACATAGTTTGCTCTCTCCAAAAAGA